CCATGTCTTCCACGGACTCTGCACCCATTATTCGTTTACACGCTCATAATACCTACCAACGGAAGTCTCCGAGTTCAGTATAGGCATTTCTGGTTCGGGAGATTGATTGCCAACTGCCGTCGACGTTGACGGAACCTCAGGCCCTAATAGCAAAATGTGCTCTGAATGAGCTCGCACGGAGCTCGTTTTGCGAGGCAGGCGAGCTCTGCTGGAGCTCTGAAATGGTCAGCGAATAGAGCTCATACGGAGCTCGCGAAAACGAGCCCAAAATGAGCTCTGAAAAACGGGCCAGCGAGCTCGTTGCGAGCTGTGTCCGAGCTCCAAAAAACGAGCTCCAGCGCTTACCCAACCAGGGGTCCCCCTCACTTGTGCTGCCCAAATTCCATTAATTACCCCTTTTTCTCCCCGTGAGGTATATATAGGAAGACATGCATGTTTGGATTTTCAAAAGTATATTGTAAAAAAATAGTTTCATAAAATCTGTGTTTTAATTCAGTAAAGGATTAAGCCTGTCCCTCCCCGTTGCAGTTGGCGGGATCTTCGATAATTGTCGACGGTTCTAAAAGAAAAAGATTTCGCGGTGGTAAGTAAAAATAGTAAGAATCTTGTTAAATAATAAAAGCAGCAATATATTAACACGTACCTTGTGATTGCCTACTGGCGGAAGCCCTTTGGCACTTCCTTTGATATCGGTCGTGCCCCTTTTTAAATGCATTTTTTAAGGCATGTTCTAGTTGCTGTCGGTCCGACCGGTGGTCTTTATTCCAGCCGTTGAATACCTCTAGAATGTGAATGTTTATTTGGTCTAATTGCAAATCCTACCTAGGATCACGGAATACACTGGACTGTCAAAGAAGGCCCGTGTACCAGGCTTTCTACCGTAAAAAGTCAGAAACTGGGCCACGTCCTCTGAGAAAAGTGTGAAAAATAATCGTTCTGCGAAGGCGGTAACTGTGTCACCCCCCATTGCCGCGAGGTAGGCAACCTGAATCCGTTTATTATTAATAACAAACACTGTTTACCAAATTTCGCCGGTAAGTCGCATCGGACACTCCTGTCGTCAGGTCGTCGTAACCGCCCAAAGTGCTAACTCGTTGCACAATGGGCGTCTCTACGGCTGACGGCATGAAGTTGGATGCCTTCTGGCAACGAACTTCCTCACGCAGGGCCGCCATTTCTCCTCTCAATTCCCTCATTTCTTGGAAAAGTTTTTTGATTCCTCGTATTGTCCACACCGACCTCTGCTTTTGTTTTCTATGTTTACGTTCTGACCGGGAGTAGTCACGTCGCCGTCGCTTTCGCTTTGGCGTGCTGCTAAGTGGATGCCCATCTGAAAAGTGTATACGTATTGGCAAAAACATAAACTTACTTGAAGGAATAGGAGATTGCCCCTTCGGAATGGTGGAGCTGGTGTCTGATGTGGAATCCTAAAGCGGAAGCTCTCTTGCATAGCTGTGTTAACCTTACCGATGATGATGGAGTTGACGGCAACGATACGTCGCCCAAGTACTCATGCCCAAAGTATTTCTTATTGGGCTTACCCTCTCTATGTGGTCTTTCGGACATAGTTATCTACAACCCAACGGGATATAGTTAGTAATGATTGGTTCGAAACTAATCTAAGTCCCACTGTACCCCTGCACCATTTGCGAATCTGTAAATAAGGGACCGTTGGGTTGTAGGATTCGCAGATAGTGACCGCTTAGCGGTGGGATTGTCAGTGAGACACTGAAGATCTTTGAAGAAGGTGGGAACAAGCCGTCGTCGTACGCATTCACCCGTCAGCCGGTAGGCTCACCTACCGCCGCACTTTCCGCCTGAGCCGGCTCAGGCTCTTCAGTGGCCTCATAGTATGCCTTCATCTGGCGCTTAATGCGCCTGTATATGGTGCTCCGGTGATAGCCAGAGTGATTACGCTTCATAATTGCTTTGAATATTCAGTAAGAAACGATAAACAATTTGTATAAGTGGACTACGAACACCAAGGCTAAATAGTACATACATAGACATACAAGTCCACTACTTGAACTGGCTGGTGAGTAGATACCCAAACAATTAGCATAATATACATAAAT